AAAAAAAACCTCCTATGGCGCATTTGCATCGCATTTTCCCACAAGTCACATTGTTTACTCAATGTACATTTTTTAAAGGCAAAAAAAAGTTATAAAACAAAGTCTATGTAGGTCTACCGCCAGAGTGGAGCTTCCCTTTATTGGTTAAATTGTGAACCACATCCTATTATTATTTCCTCGCGCTGTGTTGACAGCGGCTGCTTGCTGCGGATTAGTGGTGCTGTGGTGGGAGACGTCAACCAGTCTTACCTGTCCTCCGTGGTCAGTAACACACACTTCGTGATAAGTGTGTGAACTCATTGGTGGCTCCAGAAGCATGGGGCCACAATGCGTAATTTTGGAGAAGTTCTTGGGGGAAAAAAGAATAAGAGAAAGACAAATAGAAAGAAAAATAATAAATAAATGAAAGACAGAAAACCCCGAAACGAGCCCAAATGTGAATGAATGTGAAAAATGGTCAGAACCGCGGGTCAAAGGATATCTACGCTTCCCCTTTTTATGAATTTATGACACGCCATTAAGTCCGGCTGTCTAGACGGGGAAATAACACCTTGTTTGCCCACAAACAAACCGCGCGCTCTGGTGTCCAGCCTCCCTATTTATTATTCACAATCTTCTGTGATGTCAAGGTCAAAGTGACTGCATAGTCATGGTCAAGGGTAAATTGGAACAGCCAGAAGTTTTTCACATGGAGGGAAAAATCCGGGGAAACAAAACAAAACCCTGAAGTCTGACGGCTGGACATCAACAACCTGGAGAGATCTGAGGGAGCAGGAGAGCCTGACACAGCCCTGCTAACAGACAGRCTGAAGGCAGACCAAAACTCACCCAGTTGTTACAAACTCAATTCGACTTGTCTTTTTGTTTCTTTGCAGAACTACAACAAAATTGCATGACGCTGTATTAACAATTAGACATAAATATAAGCGACTTTTAACTCTGCATGGTGTTTATTTTAATCAGGACCTTCAATCACTAGTTTTCTATTATTTGAAATTATTGGAGTCTAAATTATCTTAAAATCTGCGCTGGGTTTTATTTCCCCTTATTTGAGCCGCAGTGTGTCTGCAGCTTTTAGAGATTTCATGCAAGTCGCTTGTTTACAACAAAACCGCGTCCAGCAAATTAATAAACACAACATCTGCATGTGTTATTTGAGCTCATTCTGAAACTAAACTGGGAAGACTCTCGTGTGATATTGCAACAAATTCTTGGCTATGTTGATCTAGCAAAAATGATCTTCATGTCAATGTATTTTATTATTTTTAATTATTTTTTAATACGGGTAAAGGTGATATACCAGTTTGGATGTATTTTTGCGTAAAACACTTTGACAAATAGCTGCAAGTCAAGATTAGAATGAAAACTTATAATAATAAACAAATAAGTAAAGGTAAAAGTATGCATTATATAGAAATAAAACTTTCGTCATGTTAATTGTTCAGCTCATTTGGAACATTATGTTTTAACTAAATTATCCAAATCTGGCGCATGGCAAACTTGGCGCACCAACCAGATCTTAACGCAAATGTTTATTTATTTTCTTCTACTTTTTAGTTTTTATTGTCTTACTAGAAGCACAAAACTGAGAAGAACTCGCTACATTAAAAAGTGCAAGTGTTATTTAATTGTAAAAAAGACGAGGACRTATGTCCCTGTTGTTAAAATCTAATTTGTGCTTGTTTATTTTTAAAAGGGTTAGAAATTATAGTTTTCAGGATACCAAATATATAATTCTCTAAATACAGAATCCTAACTTTTTTCTTTTTTTTCCGGCTTTATTGTAATTTTTCATTGAAATTTGCCAACAAACGAACAAGTTATTTTGTTAACTAATGTGACGGGACACAATCAACAAACCTTATTTTTTATGCGTAAAGTTTCCCGCCCAGCGGTAATATCGGCAAACTTGTTCGTTTGAGGTGTCGGATACTGGGAATATAATAGCCCATTCATATCCAGGGAAAATCCCGTTATAATGATAAATTTCAAAGCTTTTTTAATAGCTTCCCCATGTCGAGGTTTGCTGAAGAACATTATGCGTAAAGACTAAATGTGTCCTAAAGAAAAGACAAAAAGTCAGCTCAGATGAAACGAAATCAAAATGCTCCAAAATGGGGGGTAGCGTTGATTATGTGAGCATTTTCATGATCAGCATTTATTTATGAAACACGTTAGCATAATTCCACAGCACAATACAGTTTCACATAACTGCACCAAAAAGTAGAAATGACAAAGGGAGCGTGATCAGCTCCAATCTTACACAGTCAGGAGAACAAAAACGATTGTGCATCTTTTTTTAATGTAATACTCACTGACTTTAATGGTTTACAATCATTCCCAGTTGCATGACAGAGTCCTTCACTGATAAAGGAAAACATACAGGTCGTGATGTTCCAGCTTACAGTTCCGCCATACAAGATAATATGAATTAAATAATGAAGGCATTGCACTATACAGATTAACAACATAGCAGCCTTTGTCATAGCCCAGGCTTAAACGAACTACACAGAGGAGCATTGCTTGTTGAAATTCAATTGGATTTCCTTATTTCTTTTTCTTTCATAAAATCATTCTTTCTGCCGAAAGTCTTTTTTTTTTTGTCAGCAGTCGTGGAAAACTGATTTAKGTCTCAAGTTCGACGTGTCACCGTTTCCACAGTAAAAAAAAAGTTCTGTCCGCGTGACGTCCATCTTTTTATTTTTCTGAAAAGAACAGCAATCAGTTTCCTTTTCTTTGAGATCTGCCCCGTTGCCATTCGAAATGTCATCAGTCCTTTTAAGATTCGACTTGGAGAAAAAAATATTTAAAAAATGAAAAAAAAAAACACGCAATACTTGTCTTTGAAATACAGATATCGTTTTAAATATTATATATTTATATATGTACATTCCTATAAAACAAAAGTGAAGTGAACACTTTCACAGTTTTTTTTAGTGTTTTCTATAATCTGAGAACTGCTGGGGAGAGTTGTTGTTGTGGATGAAAATTATGATGGAGCTTAAATTAAAAAWATATAAAAAACAGCCAAAATAATCGTCAACCACCACCTTTTAATGATCGAGGTAAATAATATACGTGTCGTCGTTTGATTTCTTTTTCTTTCTTTCTTTTATCATTATTAATTGCTTTATTTTTGGAAGAGGTGGAGATAAGTGCAGTTTGATGGAGGTGGCTCATCTTATCAAGTGGCGTGCATGTGATTGTTCTTGGATTTACTGACGAACTTCTTCTCCTTGACCCGCCGGTTCTGGAACCAGATGGTGACCTGGCGCTCCGAGAGGTTGGTGGCGGCCGAGATGCGCCTCCTCTTGTCTTTGGTGATGAACTTGCTGGCGGCGTACTCCTTCTCCAGCTCCTTCAGCTGGATCTTGGTGTACGGGACGCGCTTTTTCCGCCCGCGGCGGTAGCTGCTGACTTCAGGCTGCAGCGGCACGACGTCTGGGATGGAGGAGGAGAGGGGAGAGAAAAGAAACAAACACTTCCAATCAGACTTTTAGAACATATGCGAGCATGTCGGAGGGTCATTATATGTGCTGCACCTGACATTTCAGGTCATATGGTGACTTAGCTTATRTAAAATATCACAATATAACCGGCCATTATCTGTATCTGCAGATAATCACAATCACACTACAGCTCTCATAAAATTGCACATCATTTCCGGTGTCCAATCATTACCCCCTTTTTTTTAAAACAGCATGTTAATTCTTCATCTGATTACCTCTACGACGCTGATATTAACGTTAATGGCACCTTAGGATCCTGCAGATTAAACGTGCGCAAAAGGTCAGATAACGTTGTAAAACAGATGTAATCATCATGCAGGCAACTATGAACAGAGGGTTTAAAYGTTATTTTGCTTTTGCAACATTTACATGTAAAAAATGTAATGTTGTATGAAAACGACCACAATATAACCTGTTTTTTTTCGCAGTAAGAGTATTTATCTTATACATGCAGATATTCTCCAAACTTCAGCCCGCTCCCCCTCTGCTAAGATCTGAGTGTAAGAGCCAATGGGAAGGCTGACAGGAGAGGCTGCACCTTCCATATAGGAAGCAAGCTGTGAGATAAGTAGCTTTTTTACCCCCGTGTCATTTTTACAGTCAGTATTTCATTTTTAGTTATTATTATTATTTAAAAAAAATCTCCAAAGCACTTTTCAAAACATCTGCATAACTAAAACGTTCCATCCCTATGGATGCATTCAAGCATTTCTTTTTAAGAGCACGGTGCGCTGTTCTCACAGTCTGAGACCGTCGGTTTGTGTGTGTGTTGGGACGTGGACAAGGCGCGCTCTCGTGCGYCTGGGCATGGCGCGTGCGCGCGCTTGCTTGACTGTTTTTGCCGGTGCTTGCGTGGCTCGTTTCTCCCCTCATGTTTTTTTGCACTCTCGCTACACTTATATGTGAAATAATACATAAACAGACGGCAGCAGGAGCCAGAGGGAGACGCTTTTGTGGGCAAATTAAAAATAGCTGCAGGTTTTGCAACTCGTGGGG